TGGCAGAACAGCAGTAGCTTCAAAAGGTGGCCTTGAAGCTCAGGTGAGTCACAGAGGAGGAACCTGACAATTGGCAACCCACACACTTGTCAGATGAGGAAACCGGTCCAAAGCCACAGAGCTCAGACTGACAGGCTTGGGCTACGATCCAGGTCTCCCACTGCCAGTGCTCACTCTCCTGGTGAGCCCTGCAACCTCCCAGCTGCATCTCTACAAACCCAGGAGGTCCTGCTCCAAACAGCCAATCACCTCAGGGCTTTCCCTTAACAGCCTCACTTACCAGCGCAGCCAGGATATCAGCTTCTCCCTTCTCCTGACAGCCCTGAATTTTGTCTCTGTCTCTCCTTAGGGTACTCAGGTGGTTCAAGATTTTTTCCTGTAGAAAGACAAGCAGTGGGGACAGGTGGATGCTCTGGGCTAGGGCAGAAGGGTGGACTCAGGCTGAGTCCTAGGCCATCAAGATACCTTCAGCAGGGTCTTGGCCAGGCCTCGCCTCCAGATGGGTGCAGAGCACAGCATCCTGAGTGGAGCAGCACCCTCTGAAGGTAAGGAGGGCTTACCCTGTGGGGCTGGGCCGCTTTCTCCACCAGGACAGCCGTGTGGGGTCTGTGCTCCCGGGACTCCCTACACATCACGCACAGCAGCTTCCCATCATCCTCGCAGTAGTAGTGCAGCTTCTCCTGGTGCCGCTCACACAACTTCGCATCCTGCTGCTCCCGGGCAACTTCTCCTGGCTGTCTGCTCTTATCCACCTTCAGCCGTTCGATATTCTCCACCAAGCTGGCCAGCTGCCACACAGGGCGGATGTTCTCCTTTTTAAAAGGCTTCTTGCAGAGGGGGCAGACGGGGCGGCCCCCTGAGACAGGGCGGACATCAGTGGTACAGCTGCGGCAGAAGACATGGCCACAATCAATGGTCACGGGGTCACGCAGGTAATCCAGGCAGATGGAGCAGGTCACCTCCTCCTCCAGGCTCCGCAGTGGTGCTGATGTGGCCATGGTGTCCTTAGTCCTTAGCTCAGAGGGCTCTCTGTTCACTGGCAGGGGCTTCTCCTCCTTGGAGACCAGAAATGGAGTCAAGAGCAGACACAGCAGAGGGGCAGAGATGGCAGCCTCACATAGGGCTGCCAGCTCAAGCAATCAATAGACACTTACAAGGCTTACATAATATCAGAGCAAAAGGACCTTACTGATCATCTAGTCTAACTCTCTCATTTTACAGATGAGGAAACTAAGGCCCAGAGTAGGTAGTTTGGTAGAGTGGAGAGCAGAGCTGCACTAGCCCATGCCATGCTGGTAGGAAAGCACTCCTGCCTCAGACTCTTTCCTTCCATCAGCTGGGCAACTGCTCTGATGTACCAATTATGATAGAACAAGATACTTGATAACGCTCTGCCGAAAAACTGTCATAAGAAATATACAAATCTGCAATGTCTTCTATGGACACAATGCTCTCAGTTGTGTCATGCACAAGCTGAACAACTATTCAGGGGGACCCCTGACAATCAAGAGACTCCTTTTGTTTGCTCCTCCAGGTTTCATGTTTAAAGGACTAAGAGCACTGAGATTCTTTACCAAGACTCAAGAAGCAACAAGAATCTAAATTCTAGTGTCTCCTTTCATAAATGTTTCCCTGGGCTGTGCTGTGATTTTGGTTTGTTCACGTCCCCTGGGCAGCTAGACTCCACTTAGACCCAGCCTGCCAACAGAGCACAACCTAGCCATACTGGACTCATTATCAGCTGTGACTCTCTCATGGAGCTGGTCTGGATGCTTTGCTACTAACTAACAAGGGTAGACTGCCCTAGCTGAGCTCACTAAGGAAATCGATGTGGAAGAATCCTCAGCTAGCTGTGACTGCAATGTGCTGATGAAGGCTTGGTTCCCAGAGAAAGCACAGAAGCTGAGCACAGAGTAGACTTGAGTCCCATTTCCCTGTGCTACCCTGACCCACTTCCTGTCTGAGATTAGGAGCCTCAGATGCCTGATGCAACAGCTGCTTCCTCCTGCCCCTGCCTCTGTATGACATAACAGAACTCATTCAAGTACTCTGAGCCTCAGTTTACCCATCCATAAAATGAGGAGAATGATACTTACCTTCAAGATTTTCTAAGTGAGCTGAACAAAAGCATTATGTTTTAAGTACTGTGCATAAGCACAGTACACAGAAAGAAATTTAGGAGAGTACCCAGAACCCTCGGTTCCCAAATCCAGGGAGTGTTCAATGCACAAAGAGTGCAAGAGCAAAAATGTAATGTGGAATCAAGGGCGGAAGTGAGGAAGAACCCAGCCATAGCAACACACGTGCTGCAGAATTAAAGAAACGAGATCTTCGAGGGGCAAACTGGGGAATTTGCTCTGCTGTAGATCATGGAAAGCAACCAGAGAAGTAGCTGGGAAGACAGCCAGCAGACAGGGCACACAGGTAACTCCAAGGCTGGAATGAAACACTTGGAACCACAGGAAAGCAATACCATTACTGAGTATGTCTGCTGAAAATCCATTACAACAGAGTTCAGTGGCCTCTGCGTTTTCACTGTAGTGACAAGAATAAGCTAGAAATAACCCCCAGGATCTAAGACCCAAAAGAAAAACAAAACGCGACTATAATGTCTACTTCTTGAGGACCTAATGAAGTAATACATAAAAAGTGCTTTATAAAGTGAAAGGACTGTACAAATGTAACAGATTGTCATGCTGCCAACAAAAATTCCACTGGAAGCTCCAATGAATTTTGGATATGCGTGACTTTAAGAGATGTAATGAATGTGAAAAACATGTACATACAAAGTTTCAATGAAGGGGTTAAGTAATTTCACTGGCAAAGGGGGTAAAGTTTTTAGAAATGATACTAAGGCTAGTAAAAATCTTAGGAATTTCCTGGTCTAGATCCCTGGTTTGCCTATTGAAGGAAGAAGCCTGCCCCAGCATAGAGTTGGAAAGAGAAAAGGGTCTGGTGCTGGGGACTCCTGGGGGCTTTGAGGCCCTTTGCCAAGCCACTTTGTTAAGCAGTTTAGAAGTTTCAAAGTCTAAGTTGTTTCCTTTGCTGTTGTTTGCGTGCTATGTGCTATCTTTGGGGCTGGGAATTTCATTCTGTTGCAATTTCCTGAAAGAATAAAAGGACTATGAAGAGCTCAAGTAAAGCTCCCCAGCCACACAAAACCTGACACAATCAGGTGCCTTCATCACTTACAGCAGCAGTTCTTAACTCAGGATCCTTGCTGGGCTTTAAATCTCTGAAACTGAATGAAAATGATCACATATGTAGGAGATAAATAAAACTGTCTAGGGATTACAGAAGAATGCTGGTGAATAAGTGTAGGAGAGATAATAGATTAGAAAAACACCATCTTGCAATCTCATAAGAATCTTTAATGCATACTAAACCATGAGGTAAAAGGTGCCGGGGGACAGGACAGTCCCATGGCGCCAAAGTACTACCCAATGAGTTACTTCCTAATGTACCCTGATAAGGGAGAGATCACCTTAACCAGTGCCCAAATCCAGCATCGCTAATAAAGGGACAAACTGGCATATGCTTCCCGATGAGGCGCCATGTGAATTACACATCACCTTTGAAGCTGTCCTTCCACAAATGTTTGACCTAAATGAATCAAATCAAGCCTTTTAGAACTAACTTCAAGTTTATAGAAAATATGAGGGCAAGAGGAATGAGCTAAACCATATCATGAGGAAATAATCAGATAAAGCCAAAATATAGAACAATCCACAAAAAAATTCGCCTGGTCTTTTAAAAAGTCAATGTCATGAAAAATAAAAAAGGATTGTTCACGATTTAGAAAGACTAAAAAAATAAAATAAAATAACAACCAAATCAGGTACCTTGACTGGCTCCTGCTTTAAAAAAAAAAAAAAAAAAAAAAAAAAAAAACCTGTAAAAATCGTTTTTGGACAATTAAAGAAATTTGACAAAGGGCTGAGTATTGGATATTAAGAAATTATTGCTAATTTTTAAAATGGCTTTTATTGAGACTCTAAATGAGAATGTCCGTATTTTTTGGCAATGCATGCTACAGTATTTAGGGCTGCATGACTACTACTAATTTTAAATGGTTCAACAACAACAATAAAAAAAGTCAAAAATTTTCTGAAAAGAGGGGCTATAGTTTTCTATCATTCTTAAGAGTCTATACAAGGATCTGTAACTACCAAAGATGTTAAAAATCACTAAGAGATAATAGTGCTGGACGCCTTGCAAAAACACACACTCTC